CAGTTGCATATTATAATAGTTTTTTACCATCTACAATTAAGTTATGGAATGATTTGCCAGATAGCAAGAAATCTGCAACAAGTGTAGCTAAATTCAAACAAAGTATTCAAAATAAAAATCTTGATGATAAAATAAAATCAAAATTATACAGTTACGGACAAAGGAAATTAAATATATTCCACTGTCAGTTGAGAAACTTGTCAAGTAATCTTAATGCAGATTTGTTTAATCATAACTTAGTTGGTTCACCTAATTGCTTAAAATGTGGTTATTCTTTTGAAGATTCTGTTCATTTTTTCTTTCAATGCCCATGTTATGATCTTGCCAGGAACTCTTTGATTACATATATGATTGATCATGACATACCAAGAGATATCAATATTGTATTGTCTGGTTATGATTGTCTATCTCTTAAAGAAAATTTGTTATTATTTGATCAAGTTCATAATTTTATAAAAAATACTAAAAGATTTTAGAATGTGAAAATGTAATAAGCATTAATGTGCAGCATGTACACTGAAAGTACATAATTTATACATATATGGCTCTGAGCCTCTTCCCCTTTTCCGTTATCCCCACCCTCTTTTTTTTTCTCTCTCTCTCTCTCTCTCTTTCCTTTCATTATTCCACCTTATTGTTCAATTCCCCTCTTTTTTCAATTTTGTACATTGTATCCTCCTTAAAAATTAGTCTAAAATACATGTCTTTGTAAAAGTTATGATATATATTATTGTAACATTTCATGATTTGTACCTTGATCTTTAATGGAGAGAACTTATATAGGCCATTTTGCCTGCTGTTCAATCCATATTCATTGTATATACATTTATGTGTATCATGAATAAAATACTTCTTAAACTAAGGTATATTAATCAAACCTAATATGCTGATGCATATTAAAGAAAGCTATTCAACTGCATCAATATTTTTGACCTTGACCTTTCCTCTGACCTTGACTTCAGATTTGTGTTTAGCTTAATTTCAAAGAACTTTCAAGGTATTCAAGATATTTTTATCAAACTTTATATGCTTATACCTGGTGCATATTGATGAGAGCTATTCAATTGCATCAACATTTTTTACCTTTTCTTTGACCTTGACCTCACATTTCTCAAATTTGTGTTAAGCTAAATTACAAAGAAGCAAATCAAGAAATTTCTATCAAACTTCATATGCTAATACTTATTGAGGAAAGCTATTCAACTAGTGCTAAATCCAGACCCTAAAAAGGGCATGGTAATCCAATAATCAAAAGGGCACTTTACGCCGCGACAAGTTTTCATGAGGGCACTTTTTTAACGTCTTTGAAATTATAAATATTTTCTTTATCACTGTACTCTAATTATTATTTAATACTGAAATCTTTAGTTATACAAGTATCTAAAAGAAAAATTTATAAATCTGTCAGCTTAATTCATTTAATACACACTGAGAGGACAATTATTGCCAAAATTTAAATTCAATTTTTTTAATCAAGAAATTAGTATGGTTATCAAGGTTATGCTTAAAAAGTAATAGGTGTGAATCTTTTTGTCACTTGCTCAAGAATTATTTTAGTTTGGGGTATGATTTTTTTTTTCCTTGCTTTAATATTGTTATTTGTGTATGAGGTAATAACAGAACAAAATTGCAAAGGGGGGGGGGGGGGGCTAATTGGATAATAAATTAAGAGGGCATTCTCTTTATTTTGAAAATAATCTACAAAAAAAATCAAGTGAAAACTGATATCATACCAAAAAATTAAACTTGAAATAATATATAAATTGGTTAAATTTTTTTCTGGCTTAGAAACATTGAGCTCTAGGTGTCAACTCAAAAAGTTAGAACACAGAATCCTTGAACATTGAAATGAAAGAAACTAACTTCATACTTTGTTGTTTCCTAGCCCATTTCACACATAATATTCAGTTTTTTGGTACTGTACATTGTAAGTTGACTTAATTCCTCAGCAGTTTTATTTTTCACATTTCTTCATCAACTCCGTTTTTTCTACTTTCAATTAAAAAAAAAAACGATCCTGATTTTAAAATGTGTAACATTTTAATTTACAAATTAATCTATCTTTGACATTGGGCTAATTCTTGCATAATCAATGCAATCAAATGATATTTTCTCGTGTTATCTCTTATACCCTGACAGCCTGAGGCATGTTACCTGGCCAGGTGGCTGTGTGCGTTCAAGCGAGAAGTGATTTCCTGTCCTGAGTTCACACCTTTGCGTGCATTAAATAAACAAAGGAGCTAATCAGCATGCACTGAATAAACAAAGCCGCTAGTCCATCTTGCCTCTGCTAGGCATATTTATTTATTTTTGCAAGGAAAAAAGGGCATGGCGCTGGAAAAAAGGGCATGGCGCCGAGAGAAAAGGGCATGGCGCCGCGCCATGCTAGTTTGCTTTAGATTTAAGGCACTAAAATTACTTCATCAACATTTTTGACCTTGGCCTTTCCTTTGACCTTGATATCACTTTTCTCAAATTTGTTTATAATTAGCTCAAAGAAACTATTCCAGATATTTTTTATGCAAGTTTTTGCACTGGTGAGAATTTATTGATTGTGTCCAATTTTTTTTTACCTTGACCTTCCCAATGACCTTTGACTTTATTATTAATTGTGTACTAAGCTCAGTTTTAAATGAAGTATTTTCATTAAACTTTATACACTAATACAAATTTTTATGTTGCATTACTAATGAATCCTGGGTGGGGCATTCATGTTCCATGGACATATTTCTAATTCTTAATTTAATTATTGTTTTTTAAACTTTTTTTGCTATGCTTGTAGATAATGAGCTGATTTTTGTTATGTCCCTTGATGCTAATGACTTACAGATCCATTTCGAGTTTCTTGATGATTGACCTATTTTGACAAAAGTTACGGCCCTTAGACTTTGAAAAGTTCTTATAGTTCACCGTTTTCCAGACTTTTTTAGCTCACCTGAGCCGAAGGCTCAAGTGAGCTTTTCTGATCGAAATTTGTCCGTTGTCTGTTGTCGTTGTTGTTGTCGTTGGCGTTGTTGTCGTAAACTTTTCACATTTTCATCTTCTTCTCCAGAACTACTGGGCCAATTTCAACCAAACTTGCCACAAAGCATCCATGGGTGAAGGGGATTCAAATTTTTTCAAATGAAGGGCCACGCCCTCTTTCAAGGGGAGATAATAGAGAATTTGTGAAAAATTCATAGCATCTTTTAAAAATCTTCTTCTCAAGAACCACAGGGCCAGGAAAGATGAAACTCATGTGGAAGCATCCTCAGGTAGTGTAGATTCAAGTTTCTTCAAATCATGACCCCCGGGGGTAGGGCGGGGCCACAATGGAGGATCAAAGTTTTACATAGCAATATATAGGAAAAACCTTTAAAAATCTTCTTCTCAAGAACAGCAAAGCCATGATGAGTCATATTTATATGGAAGCATCCTCAGGTAGTGTAGATTTAAGTTTGTTCAAATCATGACCCCCGGGGGTAGGGCGGGGCCACAATGGAGGATCAAAGTTTTACATAGCAATATATAGGAAAAACCTTTAAAATCTTCTTCTCAAGAACAACAAAGCCATGATAAGTCATATTTATATGGAAGCATCCTCAGGTAGTGTAAATTTAAGTTTGTTCAAATCATGACCCCCGGGGGTAGGGTGGGGCCACAATGGAGGATCAAAGTTTTACATAGAAATATATAGGAAAAACCTTTAAAAATCTTCTTCTCAAGAACAGCAAAGCCCTGATTGATCATATTTATGTGGAAGCATCCTCAGGTAGTGTAGATTGTATTGTTCAAATGATGACCCCTGGGGGGTAGGTTGGGGCAACAATAGAGGATCAAAGTCTTAAATAGAAATATATAGGAAAATATCTTCTTCTGAAGAAATACAAAGCCATGATCATAAGTCATTTTGATAAGGAAGCATCCTCAGGTATAGTGTAAATTCAATTTTGTTCAAAAGATGACCCCCGGGGGTAGGGTGGGGCCCAATGGGGGATTGAAAATTTTACATAGGAACATATAGGAAAATATCTTCTTATCAAGAACTGAAAATCATGTTAAGTCATTTTGATATGGAAGCATCCTCAGGTAGTGTGAATTCAATTTTGTTCAAATGATGACCCCCGGGGCAGTGGTGTATCCAGGAATTTCATAAAGGGGGGGGGGCAGTAGAGGCATTGGGTCTGGGGGCTGCATTGAAGCCCCCAGTGGGTCTAGAGCAAGGCCCTGGTGGGGGTCCGGGAAGCTGATGAATTCTTACAAAGAAGAGATCTTTTTTTCTTGATTTTAGGATAATGGACATATAAGTTCTATGTAAAAAAAATTAAAACGGGGGGGGGGGGGGGGGGGGCACACCCGGCTTGCCGGCCCTTGATCCGCCTTTGCAGGGGTAGGGTGGAGCCCAATGGGGGATTGAAAGTTTTACATAAGAACATATAGAAAAAATATTTCTTCTCAAGAATAGAAAAACTATGTTTAGTCATATTGATATGGAAGCATCCTCAGGTAGTGTAGATTCAAGTTTGTTCAAATGATGACCCCTGGGATAGGGAGGAGCCACAATGGGGGATCAAATTTTTACAAAGGAATATATGGGAATTTTTAAAAAAAATCTTTTCAAGTACAACAAAGCCATTTGTTAAATTGACATGGAAGGTTCCGGTTGTTTAAAATTCAAGCCCCCCCCCCCCCCCCCCAACCCCAAGGCAATCTTTTCAATACTGAACTGATTTGTACTTTTGCCTAACCAATGTGCTCAGGTGAGCGATGTGGCCCATGGGCCTCTTGTTAGTTTAGCTTACCTGAGCCAAAGGCTCAAGTGAGATTTTCTGATTGAAATTTGTCTGTTGTCTGGTAAGTTAAATCTTGTTAGTCTCAAATGAAGATAATGTATTGTGTTATTTTTTTTTTAATTTAAACTATTGTAAGTTGAGATGTTTTTAATGCACCAGAATAAAGGTAAAATGGAATGTAACTACACAAGTTGTCACTAATTCTAATGTTTATGATTATGCTTTCAGAATGATGATAGAGGAGTTGTAAGGCTAAGTACATTTGGATTTTTAAAAGAGGGAGCTCTACAAGTTAACATCACCCAGTTTAGATATAATTTAAATGGAGTAAATATGACAGACAATGGGAAAATGGTGGATGCAATGGTAAGATCTTTTTAATTTTTTTTCACGAAACATTTAATTATTGAATTGGATGATTGAATGTTCAGACTGTTTTAGTCAGATCTCAGATGAAATGTATACAAAAATTCAAATACACTAAATGTTTTATTATCTCATGTTCTTACAATATCTTTTTTAGCTCACCTGAGCCGAAGGCTCAAGTGAGCTTTTCTGATCAAAATTTGTCCGTTGTCTGTCTGTCGTCGTTGTTGTTGTCGTTGTAAACTTTTCACAATTTCATCTTCTTCTCCAAAACTACTGGGCCAATTTCAACCAAACTTGGCACAGAGTATCCGTGGGTGAAGGGGATTGAAGTTTGTTCAAATAAAGGGCCACGCCCTCTTTCAAGGGGAGATAATAAAGAATTAGTGAAAAATTAATAGCATCTTTTAAAAATCTTCTTCTCAAGAACCTCAGGGCCAGGAAAGATGAAACTCATGTGGAAGCATCCTCAGGTAGTGTAGATTCAAGTTTGTTCAAATCATGACCCCCGGGGTTAGGGCGGGGCCAAAATGGAGGATCAAAGTTTTGCATAAAAATATATAGGAAAAACCTTTAAAAATCTTCTTCTCAAGAACAACAAAGCCATGATGAGTCATATTTATATGGAAGCATCCTCAGGTAGTGTAAATTCAAGTTTGTTCAAATCATGACCCCCCGGGGGTAGGGCGGGCCACAATGGAGGATCAAAGTTTTACATAGAAATATATAGGAAAAACCTTTAAAAATCTTCTTCTCAAGAACAACAAAGCCATGATGAGTCATATTTATATGGAAGCATCCTCAGGTAGTTTAGATTCAAGTTTGTTCAAATCAGGGTTGGCAAAAAACTGGGAAATACTCGTATTTCCCAGGACGGTGGGAAATACTGGTAATTACCGGGAATTACTGGTATTTCCCGGGAAATACTGGGAAATAAGAAATAGGTACATATTTTATTCATATTGACATGTAGTACACCTTATTGGCTAAGATATCTACCTGGTATCACTGTTCCCGATTTAAAAAATTCTGGTTTCCAAGTAATTCAATTTATATACATGTAATCATAACACAGTATATTCATATACCAATCATGAGTGCTTGAGTCAGATGTAGTCTATAAAGGTCCATGAAATGAACACAAAGATCCCAATTGGGTTTTTATGTAACAAAAGAAGGATCTAAGAAAATTCTTAAATGTAGAGTATGGTATGAATATCAAATCTGAGAAGAAGCCTTTAGTTTTACTCAAGGTAATTATCTCTCAAAACAGGAGCACAAAACTGTCCAGAGCAATTTTTTAAAACAACATGATTGTTTGTAATAACTACAGTGTTTAAAGAAGGATGAAAACAAGTTTTTTTTTTGTTGTTCTTGGATTTATAATTAATAAACTTAATAATTTTACAAAACTGAAAAGAAACTTGAATTGAAAAACTTCAGTTTTTGTACAGCCAGGGGAAATGTTTCAGAATGCTTTTGGGTATGGGACCTGGAGTAGGTGATACATTCTGAATATGTTATATAGCAATTTGACACATATTCCATATTATTCATCTTCTGTTTTTATGTTTATTTTATTTTTAAATTATGTATAAGATTGAATGAATTAGAGAAATAAAAAAACTCTAATAACTTAGTATTTCCCAATATTTCCCAGTTTAGAGAAAATTTGTAGTATTTCCCGGGACGGGAAATACCGGTATTTACCACTGGTAATTCCCACCACTGGTATTTCCCGGCCAACCCTGGTTCAAATCATGACCCCCCGGGGGTGGGCAGGGCCACAATGGAGGATCGAAGTCTTGTTCTTCTCAGAAACAGCAAAGCCCTGATTAGTCATATTATTATGGAAGCCTCCTCAGGTAGTGTAGATTCAAATTTATTCAAATCATGACCCCCGGGGATAGGGTGGGGCCACAAGGGGCCACTATGGAGGATCAAAGTTTTACATAGAAATATATAGGAAAAACTTTTAAAAATCTTCTTCTCAGGAACAGCAAAGCCATAGTGAGTCATATTTATATGGAAGCATCCGCATGTTGGGTAGATTCTATTTTGTTCAAATCATGACCCCTGGGGGTAGGGTGGGGCCACAATGGAGGATTGAAGTCTTAAATAGAAATATATAGGAAAATATCTTCTTCTGAAGAACTGAAAGCCCCGGGGATAGGGTCAGGCCACAATGCGGGATCAAAAATTTTACATAAGAACATATAGAAAAAATACTTCTCTTCAAGAACAGAAAAGCTATGTTTAGTCATATTGATATGGAAGCATCTTCAGGTAGTGTAGATTCAAGTTTGTTCAAATGATGACCCCTGGGATAGGGAGGAGCCACAATGGAGGATCAAATTTTTACAAAGGAATATATGGGATTTTTTTTTTTAAATCTCAAGTACAACAAAGCCATTTGTTATATTGACATGGAAGCATCATCAGATAGTTTAAAATTCAACCTTTAATCTTTACAATACTGAACTGATTTGTGCTTTTGCCAAGCCAGTGTGCTCAGGTGAGCGATGTGGCCCATGGGCCTTTTTTTTTTTTTTTTTAGTTTGGCTTTACTCTAGATAAAAGTGATAGCAGTGGAATTGCTTCCTATTTGGTGAGAAATTTTAGTTTCTTTCCTCATGGACAATACATTTATATACATATATACTGGTGTCTCACATTACATCGGTACTTAAAAGTCTAGAAACTGAAATGTCATTTCACGGCTAAAACGTTTGAAGAACTCATTGTGTTGACATTGCATGACCAGGTGATAGAATCTTTCTGTTCTATAGGAGGATAATCAAGGGAAGAACTGTATACTCTCTTTAAACAACCCAGCCAGCATATTCAAAGAGAAGACCATGTCCATCATCTTTTTCAGGATAAAATTTTCTAGCAAGCAGTAAGTACATGAAGCATTCAGTTTTCTTTGTTTAGCATACATGTATATAAATTAATTAGGTTTTTTCTGTAATTCTTTGGGGGGGGGGGGGGGGTTAATTTCAGAAGTATGGTTAGCGAAGATGTTCTGCAATAATTACAGCATTAAGAATTTATGAGTTGTGTTTTCACTCTAATTTAATGTACAGAAGAAAGCTTTCAAAGGGTTATTTATTATGTGATTTTTTTTTAAAGTAATAAAATTGAGTATGAATAATGATTTTATATAGTATTACAGGTATTATCATCTAAAAACTTTTCACATGGTTGTTAAATTTCGTAATTTGTATTCTCACAAAATTTACTAAGATAACTCCAATCCAATGTGTTTACTTTTACAGTAAAAAAAATTCATTTTCAAAGCAGCTCAGCTTTTAATCTGCTTAATGGTATCTTTAGTAATTAAAGTTAAGTTTTCACAATTGATGCACGATATGATATGGAATATTGTAGTTGAAGCAGCTGGTATGCACCATTGACAAGAAAAGTCAACTGGGTGGGGTGTTTTAAGAATGCCTTGTTTTGATTGCCTTGACCATCGACTTTGATATTTGAGACATATTCTTGCTTTATGCAAACTGAATAAAATTTAAGGAGACTTTAAAAGAATCTATTATATTACATATGCCACTGTGTGATTTTTTTTTTTTTTACATTTTGGTCAGATAGATATTTTGGGTTTCCCATATCAAAACATATACTTTGCCATTATACTCAATAAAGGGGGTACCCATTTTTTAAACACTATTCCTCCCAAACCCCTTAATGAAATTCAATAGAACTTTCACAGAATCTCATTTACATACTTAAAAGAAATCCACTTGGCATATTATACTCATATATTATAGCAGGGGTATCATTTTGTGATAGTAGAAAAAAGCTGGGAAAAACTCATATTTCCCAGAATGCTTGGAACAATGGTAATTCCCAGCAATTGCTGTTATTTCCCTGGAAATACTGGGAAATATGGTATAGCTACAAGTTTTATAATTTTAATCATATATGTATTTTAAGTTATTAGCTAAAACATCTCATCATTGCATGTCTTTGTGTTAGAAAATTTCTAGCTACGTTGAGTACGCAGTTAAGCATATCCTTACAAATAACCATGATACAGTGTACTCAGAGACCAGCGTCAATTGTTCATACTAAAGTCAGCTGTAGTCTTTACAATTTCATAAAAATGAACTCAAAGATCCCAGATGGTGTTCTTTTTTTATGTAAAAGGCTCTAAGAAAATTGTTAAAGAGTTTAGTGTAAATGTTAGAGGCCTTTCAGTTTAAGAAAAGTAACTATCTTTCGAAGCAGGAGCACAGCACTTTCAAAACTCAGTTCATTGAAACATGTTTACTTCATTTCTTCTTTATTTCTCAGTTAGGTATCATGGTTACCGTATGTATTTCATTAAATAAATCTTGTTTGTTTATCCAGGAGATGGCATACGTATGGAAAATAGCGCAATTGACAAGTAAAAATTACCAATGTAAAGAGAGAAAAAAAAGTAAAATTATCATATTTTGTTTTTAAAGAAATATCTCTAGACTATAAAATAAGTGAAAAAAATAAAAATTTGTATTACCTAATATTTCACAGTTTAGAGAAAATCTGTAGTATTTACCAGAATAGTAAGTACTGGTATTTACCACTGGTAATTACCAGTATTTCCTGACCAACCCTGTTTGTGAGCTCAGTGCTTACAGTACCCCATGTTTTTATTTTTATTTTTTTTTTTTTGCTAAATTTTTAAAATCTCTTTCATAAAGATTATTCATATTTCAAATATGGTAGTAGTGCCAAGTTAAAGCAGATTTTATATACCTCAAAAATGTACAGCTTACTCCATTTATATTGAAATCGCTTATTTTGAAATTCCGCTTATTTTGAAATAAAAATAAATCCCCAGTTTTAGCCTCTCATTTTCTTTGCACTAAAATAACGGCTATAATAAATCAGCTATTTTGAAATATCGCTAGCCCTTATGTTGAAGCCACTGATCGGACCCTAGAGGTGATAATGAGTTGTTTTCAGAACGGTGATATTGAAGTACTCCATGGCGGCTGTCATTACGGTTGGTGACAGTAATTATGCCTGACTGACTGGTTGATATACAAAAGTGTGAATTAATAATTTCTCACCCTATGTGTTTTTATACTGCTTTTACAAAATAAAATTTATTCACTGTTGAATTCTTTGTTTTCACATATATGGACAAATTGAGGCTAGACACAATATGGGAACCCCACAGAAAAGAAAAACCTTATCTGTGGACACAAAATACGAACTAGTTAAGGCTTTTGATAAAAAGACAACTCCAAAATAGCTAAGAATTTTGGGATTAACCTGAGTACACTTATGATGATATACAAGCAGTGTTCAGCAGTAATTGAAGCTTTGTGTCTGGTGATTTTTCTCCAAAACATAAAAGAATGTGTTCGGGAAATTATAATGATAATGAATGCAACAAAAAAGAAACAAACAAAACTGATTTTTTTAAAATTAAACTTTTAAGGACTAGTATTCCATATACTCTGTTAACTGTAATAGATAAACTATGACCAAATTAATTTGTTCGGGTTTGTTCTTCTTTATTTTAGATCGAGATTGAACTTTTAAAAATGGCGGCTTCAAGTCAGTCGATCCATTTCCCTTATATTGAATTATGGATATATTGAAATAATTTGAATGGTCCCCTGAATTTCAATATATCTGGAGTAGGCTGTATTTCTTTCAGGTAACAGGTTTTTGATTTGATTCATAGATGTTGAAAACTGTTCTTTCTTTCAGAATGGAAATTCAGAAATATGGAAAAGATATTAAAAAGCTGGAAGTCTCTGAAAAGGCTCGTATGAAAACTGGTAAGTCAAATTTGTGTTAAAGAAAAATTTATTTGCTAAAGATTTTGCGCTCTGCAGTTTTCGCTCTTCTGAGCCAAAGGCTCGAAGAGCTAATGCTGTGGCCATTTGTGCGGTGTGTATAAACTTTTTAGAATATGGGCCGTGACTCAAGAACCCCTAGGCCAATTATTGTCAAAATTGTCACAGGGTATCCTTGGCCCAAGGGCTCCCGTTTATACTAAAACTAGGGTTGTGACCCTTAAACAAGGGGAGATAATTAGATAAATAAAACCAAAAGTACTGGTTGCTAAAAAATCTTCTTCTCAAGAACCACTGGGCAGATTATCACCAAACTTATACAAAAGGTTGAAGATATGTTGTAGATTAAAATTTGCACAGGGATTTACCCTGGGACAAAGGGCGTGGTCTCAAGGTCACTTCAAAGTTGACCAAAAATTAAATTTTATCAAAATGTTGATATTTTGCTTACTATAAGGACTAGGATCATCAAATCTTGTCAGTTGATGCATCTAAGGACCTCATATCATGTTGACTCAAAAGTAGGTAATGGTGACCTACTTTTTAAATTTTGCGGCCATTCTTTTTCAAAATGATTTAGAGGCATATTTTGAACAATTTAAGGCTTATGATCATCAAACTTTGTCAGAGGGGTCCTCGGAGTATGTCAACTAAAAAGTAAGTCACCTTGACCTACTTTTTGAATTTTATGGCTAATCTTTTTCAAAACAATTAAGGTCATTCAATCAAATACTAAGAGGTTCAGAATCATTAAATCTTGTAAGATGATGAATCTTGGGGCCATAAAACATATTTATTAAAAAGTAGGTCACAGTGACCTACTTTTTGAACTTTGGAGGCATTCGATTTCAAAGTGTTTAAGAGGCATAATTTGGACATTTTAAGGCCTATGATCATAAAACTTTGTAAGTTGATGCATCTTGAGTCCTCAAAAAATGGCTTTTGAAAAGTAGGTCACCCTGATCTACTTTTCAATTTATATGACTATAATTAAATATTTCAGGTACTAATTGGCTTTGAATCATCAAACTTTGTCAGTTGATGCATCTTAAGTCTTCGGAGTAGGTCGACTGAAAAGTAGGTCACCATGACCTACTTTTGAAAATTTATAGCTTTAATTAAATATTTCAGGTACTAATTGGCTTAGAATTATGAAACTTTGTCAGTTGATGCATCTTGGGTCTGCAGAGTTAGTCGACTGAAAAGGAGGTCACTGTGACCTATTTTTTAAATTTTATGGTTATAATTTTAAAAAATTTTTAGGTATTAATTGGCTTAGAATCATCAAACTTAGTTGATGCATCTTGGGTCCTCAGAGAATGACAAGTGATAAGTAGGTCACCATGACCAACTCTCAGGTACTAATTGGCTTAGAATCATCTTGGGTTCTCGAGTGTTTCTTCTAAAATGTAGGTCATGATGACCTACTTTTGGAATTTCAAGGGTTTATCTAAATATACAGGATACTTAGAGGCTTCAAATAGAAGTGATAGGTTGTACAGTTTATCAGAAGAGCAATTCAAGGCCCTTGGGCCTCTTGTTATGTGTAAATTGTGAATATGAAAGTCATAGAATAAGGTTATAAAATGGAATATTTTTCTAAGTTGCTGGTTTCTTCACCTTATTTAGGCCTTGCATGAGAAATGCAGGTGTCCTATTGTTTGGCCAGATTTGTCCACCTTGGATACATAGATGTGTTGCAATAACCACAGGCCTTTGGATTGCTTAAATGTGACTTAGAAAAATTGGGGTGTATAAAAAAGATAAAGGTATGGAACTCCTTACATAGGATATCCACTTTCACTAATAAAATACTTTTTATGCTTCAAAGTTTTACTTTCTATTCATATCTTTTCACATATAATCGATCTACATTACTACCAAAGTTCATTCCGAAAATCTGTGTACTTCCCAAGATATGGTGAAATCAATTCCAAAATTGACCTACTTTTTTTACTCGACATTAGCTTGGGCCCTGGTTATTCACACATATACAGACAGTGTTTGAACTGCAGTGAATAGCTGCATAGTATTTGCACAGTCTTTCAATATTTTAAAGTTGATTTTTTTACTCCAGATCGTAAGGTTAAGCCAGTAATAATTCCTTTTGTGAAAAAAAATTTAGAAAACGTTTGCTTCAACAACTTCACAGCCATGTTGTTTATTAATGTTAAAAGTACTATGATTGAACGAAATTTTCCAGGAATGTATAATATACCTATTGACATTTTAAAAAGTATACCGATAAAATGTTGGTGGTAACTTACTAGTAAGACCATATTATCAAATCAGATAAAATTTTGTAGAGACTGAGTACTAATAAACAAATACTCATAGAGTTTAGAATAAATTCTGGGAAAAATTTGTCCCATCGTTCCCACTTTACAATTAGTGTAACTATTCAGAGGCCCAAGCTAATGTCAAGTAAAAAAAATAAGGTCAATTTTGTGATATGATTTCAGCATATCTCGGGAAGTATACGGAATTTCGGAAAGAACTTTGGTAGCAACATAGATTATTTACATGTGAATAGTTATGAATAGAAAGTAAAGTTTGAGATCATTTGATTTAAAAGTATTTTTTTTTGGCGAATATGGGTACCCTATTTAAGGAGTTCCATAACTTTATTTTTTTTAACACCTTAATTTTTTAAAGCGATCTAAAGGCCTGTGGACAGACTTAGACAAAAAGTATAAACACTTCTTGTTTTAATTAAAATCCTTGTTACGTGCTAATAGGAGCACATTTATTGTTTGAGGTAATCAGAATATAATAGAGTAATTAATCATAATTGTGTTGTGTCATGTCATTAAATGAGAACATTTAAGACCTGTGGCAATAACAAATAACATTGCATATAGGTAAAGGATGGAACAAAGACACAAAGCTTTTAGAGTCAGCAATTGTCAAAGAATTCTGACTTGGAGGGAATTTAAACTAATTGGTTGGAAACTACAAATACTGCTGCTTATTTTAGGATTTGTTTGAAGTTTTCTATAATTTCATATTAATTTCTATTTGCCTCCTTTTTGATTGCTCAGCAACATTCTATGAATGCAGAAAATTGTTTCTTAAACTTTAAACCTGTATATGTGTATACTGACATTTTAGTACTTAAAATAGTAGCAGAAAAAAGTAATTGTCCTCTTAAGAACTTGGTAGTAGCTTACCATTTTTATTGTAGGAAGACAAACTATAACTAAAGGAAACACAGGTAAAGTTTTCAGTGACACTTCAATGATGCGCAAGCCACCACCGTCAAAATTCACTCCACCACCCCCAAAAGGTGTACAAGTTTCTGTGACAAAGTCTGACCAGAAGAGGAGTCGTCAGCGTAGAGAAGGAGAACCTTCCCCTAAAGTAGTACCACCTCAAACTACCACTCGTAAACCAGATCCCCTGCACCCAGAACCAATTCCTATTCGAGGGAATCTTAAAAATGGACACTCTGTATTTGTGAGTTTTGGACTATATAACTGCTGTCAAAAAGGGGAGGGGTTGTATTTCATATTTAAAACTTATCTTCACAATTTTAGTATTTTCAATCAAATTCTAATTTGAAGATGACCTCATTCCATTTGAGTATTAGAGCAATTATACTTTCTGATACACCTGATAAAATTACTCTCAAAAAGGATTTATTTTTTTTTTAATTCAAGAGAGCAGTTTGAATTTCATTCTGTTTTCATTTGATTTCACATATTGTATATGTACTTATTGTTGTCAATGTGGGATTCATAATTTAATTGGCATCATCTTTACTCTGTTTTGAATAAAGAAGGTAATTTGTAATTTGTCCTCTTGTATGACATCCAAAAGTAAATATTTATTTAGTTATCTCTCTACTTTCAGTTTGGAATCAATGTAAAATCTGACCAAGAGGAAGGACTGTACAATCTCTACTTTCACAATTGCTTTCAGTATGAAAAAGGTGTCCATGCAACTTTTGAAATGCAGGTATTAGCAGTATAATATCCACTCAGTGGTAGATGAGGATTCCAGTATGTTTGTTTTCCTCTGAATAACATGATCTTATTTATTAGTACATTGTAGTATCTTACTAGGATAGGGAGGCATTGAGATATGTATATTATTATCTATAAAATGTTCTGTGCATGTTGGAAACTTGAAAACTTTAGTCCTGATATGTACATATATGAATTGCAGTAAGGCGTACCCATTCTCATTTTTTAGGTAAGAAAACCAGATAAAAATTGATCCACTTATCTGTCTGTGCAGAAAAACATTATTGTACAATGTTGTCCCTAAGAATCAAAATAGCAGGGGACTTAAAAAAGTAGAAGGAGGTTTAGGGTTCCTCCCAACAGGGGTTCACGGAAAATAACCAGGGATTACATTATCATAGGTGGGGAAATTCCTGACCCCCGGGTCTTAGAGACAACCCTGTTTGTATAGTAATTAACCTACATGTACTTATTTGTTGTCAGTTCAGTAAAGTGCTGGCCTGGGCTACCTAGTAATTAACCTTTTTGGTTTTTTATAATCACTTAGTTTAAACTTTTAATTTGGTTAATTCAATTACATTGTCTTTAAAATGTCATAAAATAAAATCTGGCAACAAAATAATTAAACGCTGCATGTAGTTTATATGATCTCAGTGTTCATTACTTGCATGATAGACCCATGAAAAGCAAACTGGGCACTATTAGGGGATAACAATTTTCAAATGCAGCCTTATTTTTTTTTTATCCTAGATTGATATAGAGGAGACGAATGATGGAAACTACTTGTCTGCAGGGGAAATTCCTATCCCTGCCCTCTTCTTTGTCCTGTCTGCCTTGTTTTTCATCGCTGGCATTGTATGGATGGTGATTCTACGTCGTGTTAAGTAAGACCTTCTTATCTATCTTAAAGGACTTCAATCATCATTATTTTAAAAATTGAACATTTGAATGCTTTGGTAGTCACATGGCATGCTGATGTCTTACAAATACATGTATCTATATAAACATACCAAAGGATGGCCACCAAATAATCATTAATTTTAGGACATTGTATGGTTTGTGGGAAAAAGTATAACATAAATAAACTCATTTGGTAACAATTCAAGCTTTTTATTTATTAAAAAAAGCAATAAGAAATGGTACATTTTAGTAAGTGGCAGCTATTTTGATTTTGAAATGAATGTTTGTACATTATAAGACCAAAATGGTAATTTTTAAGGATCTCACAAATAAAACGGAATACACTCTCGATGACAAGAACTACAATCTCTCAAAGTTCTTGATCTCTCAAAGTAAACCTCTGGTCCCATTTTTTTTTCTTTATATAACTAAGCAAATTTAGTCCTGATCTCCTGAACTTCTGATCTCGAAGTTTATCTCTCGAACCAAGACCTGTGTCCCATTACACACATTACAGTAAAACTCGTTTAGTATGAACATGGATATAACAAATTTACGGATATAGCGAAGTTTTTTGCAATCCCCGGTGAAATTCTTAACAATTCCTTGTAAAATATTACGGATATAACGAACTCGAATATAATGAATTTACGGTTATAGCGAACTGATTCTGTGTCCCCTAGAAGTTAAAAATAATGAAATTTATATCTTTTATAGCGAATATTAAAAGAATTTTGTTTTTAAAATACAGGTAACTCTCGATACCTCGAAGTCCATGGGACCAAGGAAAAACTTCGAGAGATCAAGAGTTTGAGTTTTCAAGAGTCCGGAATTTTCCGGGTTGGTTAACAGGTTTTAAAATTAGTCTAATGGATGTAATGATTTTCCTTCATTTCCGAAAATTATCCATGCAGTGCTAACCTTTTACACATGGTTTTTATAAAACAATGATGTTTTTTCGTATTTTAGGTGAATATTTTATTAAACTAAGTAAAGCAAAAAATGAATATCGTCATTTCATGTATATTTATTTATTCTATGTAATACGAACATCATACTACGCATTTTACATAGCATTGACTTTTTGTATATGTTGATACCAAACATGACCTGTAAGTATTTGTCCAGCAATAGTCGTAATATTGAGATTGAGGCTGTTATGCAGAGTTTCCTACTTTTCATTTTTCATCTAACTTCACTGACTCGAAATAAAAATTAGTGTCTCGTTTTGTAATCAATTTCCACTTTTCGCTGTGTCTCTAAATAATCGTAAGACAGTCGATGTTAATTATTTTTATAACAGATAGGCAAAATATAATTATTTATAATCAATTATCACCTTGCAGTATAAGTGTCATCTGAAAAAACATCCCGTTCCTTGAGTACCGTGTCTTCTGCCTGGAGCCATTTAAATGTCCAGGTAAAGGGGTAAATTATGTAACCTTGTGTACACATAGCCACTTCGAGGTATCGAGGGTAAATTTCAATAGAAAATACATAGCGGGACTGCATTTTGACTTCGAGGGATCAAGGGTTTCAAGAGATCAAGAGTTCGAGAAATCAAGAGTAAATTTGCTTAGTTATATAGGGGAAAAATTCGGGACCGGAGACTCACTTCGAGCGATAAAGGACTTCGAGAGATCGAAGTTCAAGCCATCAAGAGTTACCTGTATTGAACTGACATTTACTTTGTAAGTATATATATTTAGAACACTTTTCATCCGAAAAAATTTTTGAACTCCAAGGTAAATTTTATATTTTATACTTCCCTAAATACATTTGGTAGTCATACTTCAAGGAAAAAAATCTATATTGTGAAGTCGCTATGTATACTTTAACGAATTTGTTATACGGATATAAGGAATTACGGATATAGCGAAGTAAATTCTCAGGAACCCAGAACTTCTCTATAACCGAGTTTTACTTTACTCTCTGTCAAAGTTTGCATGCTCATACACACCAATCAAGTGTAAAATTAATGCAGCTTGGGCTTACCTAGATAATAACTAGTTAACACCTGGGGCTAGCGTGGATCTGTTAATTGGGTTCGGGTGTTTACGTAATGACATTACACCTATGAGTCCTCCTGGTGTTGATATAATTAATTGGTTACCAGTAATTGGTCAATTATAAACAAATCGCTTTACAATTTTTTTTGACTTGGCAGCGAGATGATAATTTTGAGAAAATAATTTAGAGACGTGTCAATAATTTTTCATAAATTACCTGGTATGAATTTTTGGTTCTACACAGTGCCAGTATGGCAACCATTGTACAAGAAATCCTATCTCAAGTACTGAACAGTGATACCAAGCAATCTGGTGAAGGACCCAGTCTACCTGGGGGGTAGCCAGATTGGGGATTACAATGCATAATACTAAGTCTGCATTAAAAGGCAAAGGTGTCAAATGGAAATTGAATGTAAAAACAATTGAAATGGGAACAAATAAATATTGAAACTTAAACGAATTCTGTTTATTAGTCAAAATACGATCTTTGCAATTGAAATCAAGTGAATTATCTGTAAAATACGAATGAAAACGTGCAATGACAAATCTAGAGCATTGTCAACATATACTTCCTGTATCTACATGTACATGTATAATAGTAGAACAATGATGATCAGAACAGAAAATTTCAGGTTTCAATTTTTATCTCTTGAACCTCTCGATCTCTTGAACTTTTTTTACGGTCCCTTGAACTTCTTGAGATTGAGAGTCACCTGTATATTGTGCTTGTTAATAAACTGGTATATTCCTTGTTGGTTAGTTTTACTGCCTGTGGCATCTTTTGAGCAAAGGACATATTGCACATTCATTGTGAACAAATCATAATATATGCTTATTCCTGCTGAACTGAGTGGCTGTCATTTATTTGTAGGGATGATGTGTACACGATGCATTATTTAATGTTTGCTGTGGTAATGGTGAAGGCACTCTCAAATCTCTTTAATGCTGTAAGTATATATATGATTCAATGTATTTCTACTGATTGAAATTGAAAAAAATGCACATGGCTGAATGTACGAGCATCACAGTACTAGTCACCGTTTTTTTATTGTTTTTTTTTTGTAGGTCAACATGCACTTTATTGCAGTGGAAGGCATGCACGAGGAAGCTTGGGCTGTATTATACTACATTGTATACCTGTAAGAGCAACTCGGTTTACATTATTTGCCCTTATAAGCACCCAACAATTATAATTAGTGTGGAAAGAAAATCATGGCCTCCAATTACTCCATTACCTTGATTACTTCAGTTTATGAAAATATGACATTAAGGACATATTCAACATACCTTACCTACTGATAATTTTTCAAGATATTCTTAATTTAAGATTATAGTGCCATCAGATGTTCATAGACAAAAAATTAGCATGTATTACCAGGGGTTTTGAAAAGATATCAATTGATGAAAACATATATTCTAGATGTTTTGTTCATCCAAACTTGTTTAAGAAGTGTACAATAGCATATATAAACATTAAAACGTAGCACACAGTTCCTTTAAGTATTGGAACTCTTCAACTCCAGGGAAAAAACAATACCTTAATTTGTTTTCATTTTAACTTGGTACTTACTGTAAATGTTAAAATTTGTGTGAGTAGATAATTTAGATAAAGTATAAGTGAAGAAACATTTTTAGTAGATATTCTACCTGCACACCAGTGCCTTCATATCATTCTACTCAGCATTAACAATACATTATGCTATTTTGGAAGACACCCCCCTCATCCAAACACACATATTGATTGTGCTACTGATTTGGACAATTAACAATTTGTTAATCTACAGTTTTGATTGAAATATGGGTTGTTCATAATTTTATTTGTTCTTATCTTCAGATCTGGAGGTGCCTTATTGTTTGTGACTATTCTATGAGTTTGTTCTTATTTTCAGATCTCGAGGAGCTTTATTGTTTGTCACTATTTTACTGATTGGTACAGGATGGACTTTTGTAAAACATGTCTTTTCAGACAAAGAAAAGAAACTGTTTCTGATTGTTATCCCTTTACAGGTAGGAATAAATACAGTTTTAGATTACCTGAGTCAATTAAGGCTGTAATGAGCTTTACTGCTAAAAATTTTACTATGTGTCAGATTTCCCTGTATTTGGTGGGTAAAACTTTTTTGTCGTTATCATTTATTTAAAGGAAAAAAAGATCAATTTTTAAATTTTTCTCTCTTAAAATATGTCCCACATTAAGTCATTTTAAAATATAAGTAATCTTTAGGTAAAGGAAAACAAGAATTGTAAATTTTATTATCCCTACCCCCTTAAGATTGATAAGATTGAAATATGGGACCAATGGTCCAACATTGATGCATAATTTAGCTATATAGGATGATTTCCTGTGATTTGTTTTACTATACTGTATCAGTTACACCCTAACCACTAACTTACTACATCTGTAACATCAATGTCTTTGATCTAGATTCTAGACAACATTGCCTACATTATTAGTCACTACAAAGTATCAGTTACACCTTAACCACTAACTAACTACATCTGTAACATCAATGTCTTTGATCTAGATTCTGGACAACATTGCCTACATTATTATTCATGGACAACATTGCCTACATTATTATTCATCGCACAGTATTAGTTACGCCTTAACCACTAACTTACTACATCTGTAACATCAATGTCTTTGATTTAGATTCTAGACAACATTGCCTACATTATTATTCACTACAAAGTATCAGTTACACCTTAACCACTAACTAACTACATCTGTAACATCAATGTCTTTGATCTAGATTCTAGACAACATTGCCTACATTATTATTCACTACAAAGTATCAGTTACACCTTAACCACTAACTAACTACATCTGTAACATCAATGTCTTTGATCTAGATTCCAGACAACATTGCCTACATTATTATTCATGGACAACATTGCCTACATTATTATTCACTACAAAGTATCAGTTACGCCTTAACCACTAACTAACTACATCTGTAACATCAATGTCTTTGATCTAGATTCTGGACAACATTGCCTACATTATTATTCACTACAAAGTATCAGTTACACCTTAACCACTAACTAACTACATCTGTAACATCAATGTCTTTGATCTAGATTCTAGACAACATTGCCTACATTATTATTCACTACACAGTATCAGTTACGCCTTAACCACTAACTAACTACATCAGTAACATCAATGTCTTTGATCTAGATTCTAGACAACATTGCCTACATTATTATTCACTACAAAGTATCAGTTACACCTTAACCACTAACTAACTACATCTGTAACATCAATGTCTTTGATCTAGATTCTAGACAACATTGCCTACATTATTATTCACTACACAGCATCAGTTACGCCTTAACCACTATCTAACTACATCTGTAACATCAATGTCTTTGATCTAGATTCTGGACAACATTGCCTTCATTATTATTCACTACACAGTATCAGCTACGCCCTAACCACTAACTATAGTACATCTGTAACATCAATGTCTTTGATCTAGATTCTGGACAACATTGCCTACATTATTATTGAGGAAAGTGAGGAGGGCCAGTCTGAGTATGCTATATGGCAAGAGATCTTTATTTTGGTGGATCTACTCTGTTGTGGAGCCATTCTCTTCCCTGTTGTATGGTAAGTATCTATTTAAAAAAAAAATTGTGATCTATAAATCTTCATTGACTTTTCTTCACCCTAGGACCAAAAACCTTTGGCTAGCCAAGATGATCAGAAAAGTCCTTTAGCTTTGGCAATGAAATTTACAGTAATAACTTCTTGTGACTTAAGGAAGGCCCCTATTGGTTTTGAGTTCAAAAGGTCAAGGTCAGAAAATTATATACTACATAAAATGGTTTGTAGATGATAAATTACGTGTGAGTCTGTCCATCTAGCTGTCCGTCTGTAAACAATTTTTCAACATGCTATTCCTCCTACAATTTTGGTCTGATATCAATATAACTTTGCAAATAAATACACTACACAAAGATACATAATTCTGTTCATCGGTTATTGATTTCGATGAATGGTGTTGCTATGGTTACTAAAAATAGATATTTCTCCGAAATACTTTCAAAACACTACTCCTACTCCTCTTTTAAGTCTGATGTCAATATAACTTGGCACAAAAGTAGATTATACTGAAATACACAATTCTATATATCAGTTTTTGATTTCAGAGAATAGTGTTGCCATGGTTACTAAAAATAGAAATTTCTGTGAAATACTTTCAGAATGCTAGTCCTCCTACAGTTTTAGTCTGATTTCAATAATAACTTGGCACACCAGAAGACTACACTAAGATACAAAAATCTGTGTATCAGCAATTGATTTCAATGAATGTTGTTGCCATGGTTACTTAAAATACAAATTTCTGTGAAATACTTTCATAATGCTTAAAGGTTGAAGTTTTTGGAACAGGTCAGTTCCCAGGTAACTATAAGCCCTAACTAGACCAAACTTGCATGGATGATGCATCTAGGGATGGGCACTACCACACTTGCTTGGGATGCTGGATCTGACCTAGATTTTGCAGATGAGTGACAAGGTTAAAGTTTTTGGAACAGGTCCATTTCCAGGTAAATATAAGCCCTACCTGGACTAAACTTGCTTCAATGATGCATCTAGGGTTGGACACTACCACACTTGCTTGGGATGCTGGATCTGACCTAAATTTTCCAGATGAGTGACTAGGTTAAAGTTTTTGGAGCAGGTCTGTTCCCAGCTAAATATAAGCCCTACCTTGACCAAACTTGCATGGATGATGCATCCAGGGATGCACACTACCACTCTTGCTTTGGATGCTGGATCTGACCTAGATTTCCCACATGAGTGAGCAGGTTTAGATTTTGGAGCAAGTCCATTCCCAAGTAACTATAAGCCCTACCTGGACCAAACTTTCATGGATGATGCATCTAGGGATGTACACTAACCAACCTGCTCAGATGCTGGATGAGACCTAGATTTTCCACGAGTGAATTTTAGCCATATTTTAACCAAATTAGTATCTATGGATGATGTATCTAGGGATGGATACTTCCAGATTTGCTTTGGATTCTGAGTTTGACCTACACTCTCCAAATGAGTGACCAGGGTAATATTTTTGGAGTAGCTATATAATAATATGTTGACGGTGCGACCGTTCGGCTGAGTGCAGATACCTATATTCAGTTTTAATTTAGATTGGGCCTCTTCAAACTGCATGTGACATTTTGTACGTCTAGACTCTGACGTCACATGACGTCGCTTGTAAGTTACATTACCAAAACGAAGTCTGAACAGTGCTAATTTTAATGAAGAAAGTTTATCTACTATTTATTTGCTATTTATCCTTCAAATCAAGGTGAGTTTATATTTTTTTTGGAGCTTCTTGTTAGCGCTAGAACGTTGTTTGTGGCGAGGTGCAATTCGCAAAGCATTATGGGACCACAGCTATGTTACTGCGGAAAAAAATTCATTTGGATCAATGTGCACAGTCCGAATTTTCTCTTCTTCCAGGCGTTGCTTTAAGAGCTCGCAGTGACGAGCGGTGTTTTGTGCCGTTTGCTGCACTCACTATTATGACCTGTTATGATTAAACTTGCATAGATGGTGCATCTAAGGATGAAAACTTCCAGACTTGCTTTGGATGTCGGAACTGGCTAAAATTTTCTTGATTAGTAAACAGGTTAAAAGTTTTTTGAGCAGGTCTATTTCCAAGTAACTATAAGTCCTACTTAAACCAAACTTGCATGGATATCGATCTTATTAATAAGATGTACACTAACTAGAAAAAAAAATATGATGTGAAATTTGCCTTACTTATAGATAACATACGTCGAGGTGAGCTTCGTAATCTTTGATTACCTATGTTTTATTTATTGCTGTTGCAAAGTTTCAAGTCCAAGTGCTACTTTTTTTGTCCTTTGCTATAAGTACAAACCAGTAGAGCTACAATCTCGTCAGAGACTTCTGGATGTAACTCCCTAAATAATACACTTTAAGTATACGTTAACTCGTCAGTCCAATAGACGAGAGAAAAGTGTTGTTAGACTATAAACCTGCTGTCTAGTCTGTGTGTGGTAGTTGTGCAGCTGGCTGGATTTAATTATCAAACCTACATTATCATTTGACATTTCTTGTCTATGTATAGTATTCATACTTTAGAATTTCTATTTTTCTCTCTCTTTCTCTTTTTGGTTATTAGATAAAAAATTGAAAGACTGTATCCTTTGAATATCTCTTTCAGAATAATTAAATACAGAGTTGCAAACAAAAATGACCTTATTCTAATTATGATTAATGAATTAACTTGTTTTTTTTGTTTTTTTGTACTTTTCATGGCCAGCATCTCATTGGTTATTGGACTAACATGGTGTACTTTTGGAAGTTACTATTGTAAATGTCATCATGTTACCATTTTATATATACCATAACTAAATATTTGATTAATACTTAATGTATTGTCTAGACAGTTGAGTTGCATTAAATCATTACTATACCCCATAAATAATTTTAAAAAAAAGTTTATGAGCTGTCTAGACAGTTTTAATTTTCCCTGTGTATTATGAAAACCAAAGCAGATTGTCATTTAAATGTACTGTAATTTCATATGTAATTAATATTGTCTAGACAGTTGAGTTGCGTTAAATCATTTCGATTTAAAAACCAAAGCAGACTACAAAATAGAATTTATATATAGAAACGATTCAAATGGATTTAGTAGAAATTATGCCCCCTTCCCCATCTCTTTCCCAAAGGTTATAAAGACAGTTGATATCCCTACATGATTTTGATATCTATATATCTTTCATCTTGAGCTAGAATACAATAATTTACAGACTATACGTTGATACTTTAAATAGGTGGAAAGGCTCATTTTTAGCCTTAATTTTTACAAAATCCTTAGATAGGGCGAATTCGGAAGATTGGGCCAAGCCTTGTTTACTGATTTTCTATGTAAGAAACTATGTATCTTACACAGAAACTTTATGGTATTCCCTGTGAAATTATCACATTGAGATTGTAATGTCACATTTGTATGTGTTTAACATTTAATTATGCCCCCCCCCCCCTCTTCGAAGATGCTCTGCTGTTGGTTGTCGGTGGGTCTTGTACACTAGATTATCTGTTGACTTTGTTTGATTTACCATCTGATTAATGGATATTTCAAATGATTTTGTATTCTAGGCAGTTAATCTGTTGATTCTGACATCCTACCCATCATTTTGTGGCTCCCCCTAAACCCCTGAATGAAATTTAAAGGAACTTTCACAGAATCTCATTTAAATACTGCTACGTAAGAACTGCACTTTGCCATTGGGAGTTGGGGTATCATTTTGTGAGCTCAGTGCGTGTACCTGTAGTTTAATTCCGTTAAGTGTTTGGCCATCTCTACTATTGAGTCCTGTCCAATTTCACACAATCAAACTCTTCAAAATTATCAGTCTCACCTTTTACTGTCAAGTAATCTTGAAAAATCTTTGAGGGACCTTTGTTTGCTTGTAATGTTTTGTTACAGTTTAATTATGTATCATAAACATAGGTTTGGATAACATATTGTTATTGCTAGACCTGTTATTTTGTCTGATCATTTTCTTGGAGATGATTTGAACAATTTTGATAAAACTTGTATGAAATGATGATCAGCAAATACAGATGTGCAACTCTAGATGTGCATTGCCATGGAAACAAATAAAAAGTGGACAATTTTGTCCATGAATGTTCTCGCAGATGGCTTGGACAATCTTTATGAAACTTCACAGAATTGATGATCTCCAACTCTAGTTGTGCCATTTACATTTAAAATTTTAAAAATGGAAACCATTGCCATGGAAGTGGTTGGACAACTTTTTTTACATAACAAACGAGTTAACTAAGAGTTAGTTTTTTCTTTTGCGAAGTAGAAAATTTGCTGTCATGTGATCATTGTGTATTGACACCATTCAGGATGACATGCAATATTGCTTGCATTAGCATCTGACATTCTAGTTTAAATGTTTTTTTTTCCATTCTTGTTTGAGCAATTCTGACATTATCATCACTTTTGATGCAGATGCAACGTATCTGACTCACTTCTGAAAAGGGCTGCTACTCTAATTTCAAAAAGAAAACATTATAGAAAGTGGCTCTAATATCAGTATATCATACATTTTGTAATTCTTACATTACATTTAGTAATTCATAAAAATATAGCCAGCAGTCATGTGTCATGTAAACCAATGAAAGTGTGACATTTGAATCTGAGGAAAAATAAATATTGATTGACAGACAGACAGACTAGGTGATTTAAGTCACAGTACCCACCCTCCTCACAACTTAATTGTAGAATTATAAGTTCCTTCTCAACAGGTTACATGATATTTTATGATAGGAAAAAAAAACTTCAAGTGCTTGAATACTATTACAGTACACCGTTTCTTCATTGGAATGAGATGAATAAATGGTAGCTAGGGTTCTTAAATAAAAAAAAATACACCAATATTTAGCAAGACTTTTATATCTCATCCTCATAATGTCAAGGTTTTGTGATTTCGGAACTCCACAAAGTTTGTGTGGAGTTCCGAAATCACAAAACCTTGACATTGTGAGGATGTTTATATCTCTGCTTGGTACTTTTAGCCAGTTGCTAGAATTATAGATAAGTACAGTACAGGAAACAGTCTTTTCCTGTCACTTTATTATATAAACATATGCACTATTAGATATAAAAAATGAGAAAAACATCTGTAGTAATTATCAAGTTCTCTGTCACTTTTTTGACATGTACTTTAATTAATGAAAATACCAGAGAGTCTCAAATTCCATAAAATATAAGCTTACACATAAAACACATCTTATGTATGACAAACAATTAAGAATTAAATTATGAAACATTTTCTTATCTTGGTAAATACCAAATACGTAACTAGAAGCTAATGTCAGAACAAGATTTTTAACACCTGCACTCCAATGTTTGAATTTAAATAGATCTGTTTCATAGAAAATTTTTTTTAGACCCACTGCTGGACCAATGAAAAATTCCATAAACAGTTGAACTTTGGTATCTTAAACACCCATATCTCAATTCTCAAATAACCATGGATATGTCAAAGTGATTTAGAACTTAGAAGTCCCAACCATTCTTTAAGCATTTTACCCTGGATATCTCAAATCTTTGGATATCTTGGAAGTTTTTTCTTGGTCCCACTGAGTTTGAGATAATGAGGTTTGGTTGTATATTTTTAGATTCAGGTTATATAAAACTTTTCCTTGCCCTAAATAAATAAAGTACAAAATAAGTGCTTCAAAAAACTTACATGATTAGTGTCCTGTTCACACGGAGAGTTTAATTCGCAGTTAATTAATGTGAAGTAAAATGATGCGAATTAAACTAATGGGAATTAAATTGCATTCACACGACAGCTAATGTGAAGTAAACTAATGCGAATTATAATTTTATTTCTACAACAAGGCTAGTCAGTGAGGCTATTATGAAGTCATTTACAAATCGTCATATTGTGCAGAGCAGATATACATTTGACATATTGTCATAGTGTTTGTACACATTTTAGTGATTAACATAATTTTCCTCTGTTTTCCACGCAAAATAGCACAAGTACCTATATTTGACCATCAACATGTGGCCTGTGACTTAATTCTGCTGTTACACTTGCATCAAAATTTAATTCGAATTAGCTTCACTAAGCGTTCACACGGAGCTAATGCAAAGTAATTTAATGCGCAGTAAACTAATTCGAATTAAACTAATTCGCATTAAATTCTCTGTGTGAACGCGGATCAAATTTAATTCGCAGTTACTTACGTTTAATTCAAATTAAACTCTCAGTGTGAACAGGGCATAGTACAGTGTAGTGCATGACTACATCCAGGGTTCTAATTGGCGACTAATTTCTCTATAAGTTGCCAAATTGGCGACCATTTTAAATTGACTTGGCGATCATCAAATTCCAGTACTCTAAATGTTTTCAACAATGTTTTTTTTTTTTGAAGAGGCGAAAAGAAATTTGAAAGTGGAAGGGGGGATTCAATTAAGTATAAATATTTTAAAAAAGGGTCTTTTTACAATTCAACCTTGAACATTTCCTAGTTACTGTGTCTCCTACATTACCATTCTGACTGGGGAACAAATATATCTTGTCCCTCCACTTTCAAAAGTGGAAGGGGCCCTCCTTTCCTGTCACTACCCCCATGGGTCCCTATATTTTTTTATATATTGACTAATATCAGCTTTTAAAGTTGGCAACTAGGTACAATTTGTCTGGCAACTAAGAATTCTCATTGACATTTAAATTTTTCTGATTAGGAGCCAGCTTTTGCCTAAATTTTTGAGGTCACTTAGAGGCCTTACATCTAGTAATTAAAAGATGCAACATATATTTCATCAACTTGCTTTGGGCCTCAACCATTGACCCTGGAAAAATAGAAACCTAATACCAATGGAAAAACTAATTAAAATTTTAATATATTGTCAAATTTTTATCCAAAAATTCTCCAAATTTGTGTGATAAATGTATATTTATTGCTTTAGAAATTTTCAAAATCTATCAATTCTTCACTTCTTTACATGGACGCCGTCACAGTAGCTCTCAGTTGAAGAGTGCTTGCTCCATGATCGGAAGGTCATGTGTTCGAATCGCCGCCGTGACTGACCTTAGTCAATAAAATATAGGTAGCAACTGTTCCTTCGCCAAGTGCTCGGCACTTTGAAGTGAAAGTTGCGGGTACTTCAGATGAGACCTTAAAAACCGAGGCCCCATGTCATGGTAGGTGTTGGCATGATAAAGAACCCTCACTGGCCCTGAGTGCCAAGTAAAGGTCTAAATTTTAAGCCCTTCACAGGTAAATGGTGATGTCTCTGTATGAGTGAAAAATTCTCGAACGGGATGTAAAACAAAATACAATCAATCTTTACATAGATTTGTTTAAAGTATGCTTAAAACACAGATGCTAAAATGTCATCATAACAAGGTTTCACTCTAGGTAACTATAGTATGTAAAAGGTTTAATGCAGCATGAGCCAAGTATAAGGTTTGCATTAATAATACATGTAATAGTAAAAGGTTTAATTGAGCTTTTAAGATCAAAGAGTATTCGGCATCCATCTGTCCAGTAGTCTGTCTGTCACCTGTAAACATTTCACAGTTTTTAGTTCTTCTCCAGAACCATTGCAGATGCTTGAAATATTTAGCACACTCCTTGTCTAGGCATGCCATATGGTGGGATTCATTTTTGTACGAATCTGATGTCAACTTTCTGTTTATCCGTGTGTCTGTCCATACCAAATTTTTGTCCCAGTTTTCTCAACAACTATTCATTGCTGATGCTTGAATTTTAGCACACTCTTTGTCTAGGCATGCAATATGGTGGAATTCATTTTTACGAATCCAATGTTAACTTCCTGTTTATCCATGCATCTGTCCGTACCAAATTTTTCTCAGCAACTACTCAAGGCAGATGCTTGAAATTTTAGCACACTCTTTGTTTAGGCATGTCATATGGTGGGATTCATGAGAGTGTATATTCATATCAGCGCGGGGGTATTACTAGTCAGCATTAGCTCACAGACTTTTTTTTCTTGGGTCTCTTCATATCATGGAAACAACAGAAATGAAACCCCCACAAAAATAATTTATTTCACAGTACATGTATGAATTTCTTTTAAGATTAGAAATATAAGCTTTGTTATTTTTTGGTACATTTTAAAGAAGAAAAAATACAAATGATGAAATCTTGATGAAGTTATTTTTATTATTTTTATTTTACTCTGTATTACCGTATAAGCAGAATTTTTAGCAAGGATTCAATTTTGGCATTATTAGCGATTGTTTTGAGATCGCTGAAATTGAATATTGCTAACAATTTATTCCATAATGGTTATTATAGATATCTTTATGGACATTTTAAAATCACTAAAATTATTTCTCGCTAAAATTATATACCAATTTTTTGGCATTCTTCATTTTTGACGTGCAAGTACTGCTAATATAAAGATCAGTCACCATCAATTAGACATCTGTGAAGTGTGTTATATTTCATGATCTTTTCATATGACACTCTCTATTGCATGTGTATAATTATTAAGTGAAAGTTTTGTGTGTTGACAAAAATCACATGCTTTTTGTCTGTCAGTCCCTCCATCTATCTGGGAGATGTCACACTACATCAAAAATTTACCTGCAGTTGACACACATTCCCTGTTTTGAAATGTTAAACTCTTTATTGAAACTAGGTCACTAATGGCAGGTAACAAATTTAGATACAGTGTACTTCTTATGTTAAAAACATATTGTGTGTAGTAAAAGATATGACAATGTATTACAATAAAACAGATAAACTGTATCTTGACGTCTAATAAGTTGACCATCCGGGATATCCCCCTTCACCCTTTTTTTAAAAACAAGTTGTGCCCCCTCCAAGATTTTAGCTCAAAACAGAGACAGTTTTCATCAATTGCCATTTAATATATTTAAAGTGTCATGAGAATGGAGAATATGGGGGTACATGTATACTAACAGTTCTTCCTGAAGAATTTATGCATGGCATGCTCAACAAACAAAATGGTTCTCATGAAGACTGAAATCTTTTGACAGGTCAATGAGACATTTACGACAGTCCACAAGAACAGATGGAAAAGCTGCACTTAGTTTACAAAAACTAGCCCTCTTCAGGCATTTCTATATCATGGTAAGTTATACTTCAATTAGTCTGTAACCAGTCTTCATAATATGGTGAGTTTTCCTGAAATCAGTTAAAAAAGACCAGTAACCCTCATTAAAAAGAGCAAAAGATGAAATTCAGCAGCATGCAATTAGTGATAGAATTTTGTATTGCTTTTGGAAAATTTCCAAAATAAACTCAAAGTGGTTGAAGATGCCAGAAATATATATAATGGATATATGCCGAATACAGTTCTGTATGAAAAAATAATAGACAGTTTGAGGCTTGTCAAATGCATTAACTTAGTAATGTCATGGAAAGTGATGGGCACATCATTGCTAGAGAACTTATGAAAGCAGATTTACGTGGTTAAAAAAATTGAAAACTCTATAATGAAATATCTTATACTGCTTGAACAATTATTAGCAAACTAGGTGTCAAGTGGTATGGAGACTTTAATAAATGGCTAAGTAGGTAAGGAAAAAACAGAATGTGTATGTAAAATGTAGAGGGAGAATGTTTTAGAAACTGTCATGATGTATTTGACATGAGTTAAATTTCTTAATATGATAAAAGACCAACATTTTTTATGTAATTTTTTTATGTAATTTTTGAATGACACTAGTATTTTACACTCTTAGAGAAGACCACAAATTCCAGAAATATTGAGTAATTTGTATATTAAAGGGTCGTTATATACACATTGAAGATACAATTTATATTTACGCCTATTCAAACACCAATGCCAATTAAAAGGAAAATAAGTGAATTTTACACTGACCTAAAAAGGCGCGACTATTTTTGATTTGACTAATTAATATCTGCCCCCCAAATAAAGCTTTGTTGGAGAAATCTATAATTATGTTCCAATCTGATTAAAATCACGTAAGCGACATATCGTTAAAAAAGGAGCATCAAGGATCAGATTTTAATCAGATTGAATTATGTTCTAAACGAGTGGGGTATCTGCAGACTTGAAAGCATTACATTTTTTCATCAGCCATGATGTCATATGTTAGATATGACATTAAAAAGATGACGTAAATTTAAAAAATTTGATAGTTTTGAGAGAAAAAAGTGTATTTTACATTGATATTTTGATTAAAAGTCATTGAGCGCAGGTCTGCCCCAGCTTGATCTTTTGATATAATGTGTAGAATCAAATATGTAAATACTGTTCTTGGGCATGCTTGCGCTCAGTAAAATCTATAATCAAAATTGAACAAATTTTGTCCTTTTTCTTGAAAATAACAGAAAATTCATATAGTTTGTGACGTCAAAGAAACAAGCATTGACGATACATTCACACTATGATAATTTTTGTCAGTTAAGATTTTTCATACAATATATACAATTGTGTACATTTCTATATTCTTTCAAAATTTGGCTTTTATGGGGGCAAAAATATGCTTTCACCATATAAAGTTCTTTAACCCTCTTTACAGTATAAATGTTAATGTGTATGTGTTTAATTAAATAAAGTGAAGTACACTGTAAAATACATGTATATAAATTGACCTGTCTTTGAAATGAGATTGTATTAATTGTTTCATGAAATATATGTATAATAATGGACTTAAATGATGTTTTGATCTGTCTCTTTCAGATTGTGTGTTATATCTACTTTACAAGATTTATAGTTTACCTAGTAAAGGTATGTAAAACACTCGTATAAAATTTTTTCACATAGATATTAAAATTATTTAGGATTATTTAAGATGAGTAAAGTTGAATTTTAACCAAGTGAAATATATTTGTACTGGTATTTTAAAAGTACATTGTAGTTTCGATTTAGCTTCCCTGAGCCAAAGACTCAAGTAAGCTTTTCTGATCAGAATTTGTCCATGATTGTCATTGATGAGGATGACGATATGACTCGTAAGTGACAATGAAATGAGGAAATGAAGAATGAATATTTACAACAAAAAATACTATAAGTACAAGATAATTCAAATAATCACACATGATTACACATCCTAGCAAATTAATTGTAATGTTTAACATGTACTAGAAAAATAATAGCCTCTGTAGATTCAATATCATATATGTAAAATTGTCAACAAAAAATGTAAACAAAGAGGCATTGATAACTCTTGATTAACACAGATCTAGCCTGGTTCCCTGGCTCATCCTTGCCAAGTTGGGAGAGCCAGGTGGATTACAATCAATGCTGTCCCTTGATTGGTCTGAACAATTTGTGCTAAATTGTGGATTTTTGAGCCGTTGCTGTTAACCACAGAAATAAATATTGACGTCACAATGATACATAGCATTGATGGCGTAGAAAAATACTATGTCACAATGATACATAGCATTGATGGCGTAGAGGAATATGATGACACAATGATACATAGCATCGATGGCGTAGAAAAATACGTCACAGTGAATTTCTACATGGGAAGCGCAGCTAAATACAATGCCACAATGGTCAGATTCAGGGCAGATTCACCCTTAATCCATTGTATTCCACCTGGCCCTAGTGTTTCAGAGTATAGGAAGCATAACAGGGACAGGGAACCAGGCTAACACAGATCGTGATAGGAAAACATGATGTAAATGGAGTTATCTCTTGTACATAATAAATGTGCACATATCCAGTGATATCACCTATATGTCAATAATGTACATAACTTCCTAACATACTAATTGCATTATAAATAATAAACTTTGGTATTAGTGCACAAGTACTTTAAACAATAACTTTAAATTGAGATTAATAAATATGCAAAATTTACTGATATACAAATGCACAGTGTATACAGTTAAATGATAAACAATATAACACTCACCAATTTAGAAATTTCCTCCAGTGACACAAATAAATCAGTACAAAGTCATAGACTAGGAAATCTAGAAAAGTTACAGGATAGGTACACGACACCTGTCGCATCCTGCCATAATATCACGGGCTCTACACATAAAAAATATTGTGCCCCAAAAATGATGACATCACCTCACAACTACAGTGGCAAGTCTAATTACCGAAACAGCCAATTTCAACCAAACTTAGCACAGAATGTCCTTGGATGAAGGGTATTCAAATTTGTTTAAATGAAGGGTCACACCCTCTTCCAAGGGGAGATAATTAAGACATGGTGAAAATTTGATGGGGTCTTTAAAAAACTCTTCTTCACAAGAACCACTGTGTCAGAAAAGATGAAACTTTTGTGAAAGCTTCCTGACTTACGGGGCTAGTGTGGGGTCACAGTGGGTGACCAAAGTTTTACATAGAAATTTATAGGGAAAAAAGTTTAAACATCTTCTTCTCAAGAACAGCAAAGCCATGATAGGTCATATTTATGTGGAAGCATTTTCAGGTAATGTAGATTAAAGTTTGTTCAATTCATGACTCCCAGGACAAAGCCATGATAAGTCATATTTATGCAGAAGCATTCTTAGGTAGTGTAGATTAAAGTTTGTTCAATTCATGACTCTCGGGAGTAGGGAGAAGCCAGGATGAGGAATCAAATTTTTACATAGGAATATGTAGGAAAAAAAACTTTTAAAATTTTTTTTTTCAAGAACAACAAAGCAATGATTAGTCATATTGATAAAGAAACATCCTCAGGTAGTGTTTATTCAAGTTTGTTGAATCATGACCCCTGGAAAAAGGGAGGGGCCACAATGGGTAATAAAAGTTTCACATTTGGAATATATTCAGGAAAAATCTTTAAAAATCTACTTCTCAAGAACAACAAAGCCCTGATTAGTCTTATCAATATGGAAGCATCTTCAGGAAGTGTAGATTCAAGTTGGTTCAAATCAGGATCCTCAGGGGTAGGGTGGGACCACAGTGATGGAACAATGGTTACATACTGAGAGGAATATATGGGACAAAATCTTTAAAAAAATCTTTCCAGAAATAGCAAAGCCATGATTAGTCATATTGATATGAAAGCATCGTCAGGTAGTGTAGATTCAAATTTGTCATGGCCCTGGGAAGGGAGGGGCCACAATGATGGATCAATTGTTACAAAGGAATATATAGGGGAAAAAATCTTTCCAGGAATAGCAAAGCAATGATTAGTCATATTTATATGGAAGCATCAACAGGTAGTGTAGATTCAGGTTGGTTCAAATCATGACCCCAGGGGGTAGGAAGGGCCACAATAGGAGATCTAAGTTTTACATAAGAATTTATAGGAAAAATCTTCAAAAATTTTCTTCTCAAGAACAGCGAAGCCATAGTTAGTCATATTGAAATGGAAGCATCTTTAGGTAGTGTAGAATCAAGTTTGTTCAAATCAAGGCCCCTGGGGATAGGGACTGGGCCACAATTGGTGATCAAGGTTTTACAAAGGAATATTAGTATAGGGAAAAATCTGATGAACAGATGATGAAGAAAACAAATCCAAAAGTGACTCTGGTGAGTGTTGCAGGTTAAGCCAAAGGCTTGCCACAACTTGTCACAAAGCATCTTTGGGTGAAGGGGATTCAGATTTGTTCTAAAGAAGGGCACACACACCCTCTTTTCAAGGGGGGGGGATAATTTAAAAAAAAGTTAAAAATTGGTATTTTCTCAAGGACCACTGGCCCAGAAAGGACAAAACTTATAAGAACCTGTGCCCCAAGGATATATTTTAAAGGTCCATTAATTATCAAAATGGGTATAATTGGAAAAAGGGAAGACATACATTTTAAAAAAGAAAAAAAAATATATCTGTGATTGATATGGTTAAGGGAAATGTTGAAATATTTATTGATCTATTATACCATAATTCAAAAGAAAATTACAGTTTGGAGCTTTTAATTCTCTGGGCTGGCTAATATAAAGTAATGATGATGTATAAATTGTAAAATTTATTCATGGATTTCATATTATATTTCATATTCTGGGAATTTCATGAATTTCCTTAAATGACTAGGATTTACACATACCGGTAATGACTGATTCACTTAGTGATTGTTTGAAATCCTTGGTTATACTTATAAGCTCCTGTAACTCATATATACTTGTGAACAATAGTAGACCAGATTTTTATCATTTCGTCCAAACAAAAGTAATTACTGATCATTCTGTCTATATCCAGATAACTGTGCCCTTCCAATACGAGTGGCTAGATGAACTCTTTAAGGAACTTGCCACATTAGTGTTCTTCATCATCACTGGATACAAATTCCAGCCTGCTCCAGATAATCCATACCTCCAGGTGCCTACAGAGGAGGAAGATGAAGAGGTAGAGATGGATGAGGTGTAAGTAATGACCTTGTACAGCTTTGTTTGACCTTGAATGATAAAAATTATTAAAATATGCAATTGTCCTGGAATGCTGGTCTTGTTTTCGTAAGTTTTTGTTAACCCAGATTGTTTGGTACAATAATGTAGTGAGCCATTAGAGAGTCAACATGTAAACTTAATTATATGCCAAACAAACTGAACAAGATATAAAACAGCTTTAGTTTCCTAGGAAGACAAGTTCTGTATTTTTGGCTGGAAGCTGATTTGGTCTTTGGTGTTTTATGCATTGAACAGTATATGCTAAACTTTTAAAAAGATAATAAGTATTAATTGCCCATCTGCTATGACTTATGGGTTTAATAATTGTAATAATCCACTGCTTATTCATGGTATGACATCCACTTGATAAAACTCATTTTTTTTTTAATTTTATATTTCAGAATTACCAAATCAGGTGCCATGGAAACAATCACTCATGTCAACAAGGGGTCATCTAGTGGAGGCCTGAAACAAAGGGAAAGCAGTCATGAGTATGATTGAAAAATACTGAGGAATTAGCAAATCTAGCTGTCCAATCCTGGAAAAAAAACTCCTGGATTTTCATTGACAATTTTGTGGTGGAAGTTTTTTGTGCAATTTTTTAAATGACAAGTATTGGTTATTGTTTGTAAATGTGTATAAAAATTGATTTCTTTCATCATCAGGTTATGATTTTTGTGACATCACATGATTTTTTTTCCTTCAAATTTTCCTTTTTCTTTAGTTTTGCATTTCTATCAGGTGTGTTGTTTGAAAACTATTTAAAAATGAAAGTCATCAATCATCTATGCTGATATCAGATATTGTCAGGTGTTGTAAGCAGATGTATGTTTATGAGCAGTAGAAGTGTGAGAGAGTGTATAAGGAAAATGTTTCTGTAGAAGGGAGATTATGAGGTGTATATCTTTTATTTCATCCTCTGTGATATTTTTATGTGTTAATCATGAATCTTACTGTAAAGTACATGGGTATAAAAAAAATTGTTCACAATCATTTTAGCTCACTTGAGCTGAAAGCTCAAGTGAGCTTTCCTGATCACCTGTTGTCTGACCATCTGTCTGTAAACTTTTACATTTTCATCTTAAGAACCACTGAGCCAATCCTAACAAAAGTTAGTACAAAGCATCCTGGGTGAAGGGAAATTTAAATCCTTTAAATGAAGGGTCAAGCCCCTTGCATATATAAGGGGAGATGATCAAGAATAGACAAAAATAGGGTGAGGTAATTAAAAAATCTTCTTCTCAAGAACCAAGGGCCAGAAAAACTGAAATTTATGTGGAAGCATCCTGGGGTAGTGTAAATTCTAAATTGATTCAAATCATGGCCCCCAGGGGTAGGGTGGGGCCACAATAAGGAATCCAAATTTTACAGCGAAATATATAGGAAAAATCTTTAAAAATCTTCTTCTCAAGAACCTCTGGGCCAGAAAAGCTGAAACTCATGTCAGGGATCAACATTAACGGTTGTCCGATTGCCCGGGACAAATAAATTCTCAGTTCGGGAAAGTGAAACTTACGGCATACTTGTCCGATCAGGCAAGTAAATTTTTCTCATAGAAATGTACATATTTATTTAGTTTACATTAAGTTATAAATAAAACAATAAATCAACACTTGATTCCCGCCAGGTACCTGACTGACATTGTTTTTGCATTCAGAATTCCTCAGTAGCATTTCTTGATTATACATGTACCTTTCATTTAAAAATCGGGTTCGTTATTCTGTTTTCTTTCTCTACAACTGTCTCTACAACTTTGTTAACTTCTTATTAGGAAATCAGATTATTTATTCACTCACAGAATATAAGTACAGTGTAACACAATTTATCGTGATCAAGATAAAAATGTATGTTAAATAGCAACTATATTCTTTTAGCGCTGCTTCAAGGTTATCTCTGAGGATTATGATTCACAAAAGGATCCTACCAAAAATAATTTTTAAAAAATATGAATTTTATTAAAAGGAAATGGAGGGTTATTGCTACATGGCAGTGTGTGTTAACAGGTCAAATTTACCAGGACAGTGGTATAACGTCACACCGATTTTTTTTTTCAGGTAGCTCAATTTGCCAAATTGACAGTAGTGTATGTGGTCACATTTTTTTCTTATCATAACATTTACAGTAATAAATTATTTTCTTCTTAAGTTCTTTCCTTATTTTGGGCAACCAAGTTTTGCATTCGGACAAGTCAAAGTTTTAGATCACTTGCCCGAAGGGCAAGTCAATCTGAAAGTTAATGTCTATCCCTGCATGTGGAAGCTTCTTGGGGGTAGTGTAGATTCTAAATTGTTCCAATCATGGCCCCTGAGGGTAGGGTGGGGCCACAATAGAAATCCAAGTTTAACATTATAATATGTAGCAAAAATCTTTAAAAATCTTCTTCTCAAAAAACATTGGGCCAGAAAAGCTGAAACTTGTGTGGAAGCTTCCTGATCCTAAACTGTTCAAATTATAACCCCCAGGGGTAGGGTGGGGCTACAGAAAGTATTACAAGAGGGGAAATCTGGTGAAGAACAGCAAGGCCAAAGTTAATCAGGTGAGCCTTGAGGCCCATGGGTCTCTTGTTATTTATTATTAACTATGTAAATATCAACATCATTCTTTTGTGCCCAATGAATTACATACTTCTCTGACTTGGGAAAACTCAGTACTGTATTATTAAATGCTATATTTACAATGGTTTCTGTAAACCCAATAAGATTGCTATCAATATTTTACTGTTTAGTACCCAAAGTTTTATGGACTCTGAAAAAATTCCTATTATTTGTTCAGTGTGTGGGTTATCATGGACTCTGTAAAATATGATGGCCTGGAATCTTAGTCTCAAGCCAAAGAATTCCAATATACATTCACTGCTTGTACTTTGTATTGGTATACTGTATGTCTTAATATATTGTGCATAGAAAATGTTGAAATGGTATTAAAAGATTTCAAATTGCAACATTTTTCTTGTGTTAAGATCAGTGTTTCAAACATGGAAAAACCCGGTAAGATAAGTCAGTCTTAAAATGGCAGATTCTTGTATTGCTAAGTTCAAAGTTATATAATAGTATCACAAAAGCAAGAAATTGAAGAGAAATGTTTTTATCAATCTTAATCAGGAGAATTCTTTGCTCAGAGGAGTTTGTATTAAAGTAAGCAGTTTACCTTCAAACCAATGTCATGAAATTCATGACCCCGAGATCAAGGGCTCAAGCCCCAGGATTGGGATAATTTCCTTGTGGAGAAAATTTTATATCTTTTTTTTTTACTCATGGACATATAGCAGATCATCTATAAAAAAAAATGTTGGCATGATTATATTAAATAAAAGCACAGGAGTTCGCATACCTATCAATTTTACCGAAGTTTTCAGTAAATATAAAAAATACGTAATACCTATAATAATGTTATTATAGGTATTACGTATTTTTTATATTTACTGAAAACTTCGGTAAAATTGATAGGTATGCGAACTCCTGTGAATAAAAGATTGTAGTCAGCATTCCAAAAGAACTGGCCCATAGGAGAGAACAATTTCCCTGAAAAGGTCACATTTCAAAATAAATGTTTATTTGTATTTCTTACTGTATATATGTCTGAATTTTTTTAATTTCCATTTTGAACCTAAATTTTTCATGCCATTTTTAGCTTTTCTGAGCCAAAGGCTCAAAGAGCTAATGTTATGGCCATTTGTACATAATGTTGTGAGTCAAATTTTGGAATTTGGGCCACATCTCAAGAACCTCTTAGCCAATTTCTGTCAAATTTGTCGCAGAGTATCCTTGGCCAAAGGGCTCTCATTTATACTAGAACTGGGGATGTGACCCTTGAACAAGGGGAGATAATTAGGGAAATAAAAACAAAAGTAGTGGTTGCTAAAAAATCTCAAGAACCACTGGGCAGATTATCACCAAACTTACACATAAGGATGAGGATATGTTGTAGATTAAAGAATTATTCAAAGCATCACCCTGGGGCAAAGGACGTGTTGTCAAGGTAACTTCAAAGTTGACCAAAAATGATGTACTATAAGGACTAGGATCATCAAATCTTGTTAGTTTATGCATCTTAGGACGCCGTATCATTTTAACTCAAAAGTAGGTCATGGTGAATTACTTTTTTTGAATTTTGCATGTATTCATTCCCAATTTGATTTTGATGCATATCTTGGACACTTTGAAGCCTATGATCATCAAAACATGTCAGTCTATTCATCTGGGGGCCTTGAAGTGTGTCAACCAAAACGTAGGTTAACATGATCTACTTATTAAATTTTGTGGCTAATCATTTTCAAAACATTGTTGGTCATTATTTCAGATACTGAGAGGTTTAGAATCATCAAACCTTATAAGTTGATGCATCTTGGGGTCTTAAGACACATTTATCAAAAAGTAGACCTACTTTTTAGCTCACCTGAGCCGAAGGCTCAAGTGAGCTTTTCTGATCACATTTTGTCCGTCGTCCGTCCGTCAGTCTGTCTGTCCGTCTGCCTGTCCGTCCGTCTGTAAACTTTTCACATTTTTGACTTCTTCTCAAGAACCACTGGGCCAATTTTGACCAAACTTGGTACAAAGCATTCTTGGGTGAAGGGGAATTTAAATTGTTAAAATGAAGGGTCAAGTCCCCTCACAAGGGGAGATAATCAAGAGAAGACAAAAATAGGGTGGGGTCATTAAAAAATCTTCTTCTCAAGAACCACTGGACCAGAAAAGCTGAAACTTATATGGAAGCATCGTGGGGTAGTGTAGATTCTAAATTGTTCAAATCATGACCCCCGGGGGTAGGGCGGGGCCACAATGTGGAATCAATGTTTTACATAGAAATATATAGGAAAAATCTTTAAAAATCTTCTTCTCAAGAACCACTGGGCCAGAAAAGCTGAAACTTATGTGGAAGCATCCTGGGATAGTGTAGATTCTAAATTGTAAAAATCATGACCCCCGGGGGTAGGGCGGGGCCACAATAGGGAATCCAAGTTTTACATTGAAATATATAGGAAAAATCTTTAAAAATCTTCTTCTCAAGAACCATTGGACCAGAAAAGCTGAAACTTATGTGGAAGCATTCTGGGGTAGTGTAGATTCTAAATTGTTCAATTCATGACCCCCGGGGGTAGGGCGGGGCCACAATAGGGAATCCAAGTTTTACATTGAAATATATAGGAAAAATCTTTAAAAATCTTCTTCTCAAGAACCACTGGACCAGAAAAGATGAAACTTATGTGGAAGCATTCTGGGGTAGTGTAGATTCTAAATTGTTCAATTCATGACCCCCGGGGGTAAGGTGGGGCCACAATAGGGAATCCAAGTTTTACATTGAAATATATAGGAAAAATCTTTAAAAATCTTCTTCTCAAGAACCACTGGGCCAGAAAAGCTGAAACTTATGTGGAAGCATCCTGGGGTAGTGTAGATTTTAAATTGTTCAAATCATGACCCCCGGGGGTAGGGCGGGGCCACAATAGGGAATCCAAGTTTTACATTGAAATATATAGGAAAAATCTTTAAAAATCTTCTTCTCAAGAACCACTGGA